CCCCAAAACCCCAAAACCCCAAAACCCCAAAACCCCAAAACCCCTTATTGCTAAAATGTGTCAATTTATTAAAAATGAGTTTATGATTAATGAAATAATTTATTAAGCTTATAATAGAATTTAAGAATTAATAAACTTTAGAGTTCTTTTGAATAAACCCAGAAAATACTGATGGAAGCAATGAATGAACCAAAGAAATTGATATAAATCCAAATTGATTTAGAACATAAAAAACCTAAAATATAGATTAATAGAGAAAATTTGGATGAGGTGCTACATGAAAACAAATAAGCTTTTGTTATTGGAATACTTGGTCGACAATAAATAGGCAAAAGCACCTTCTTGAGGTCAAGTTTTGATGTGAAGTTTAAGTCGAGTTCGTTTGAATCATAAGGAAATCAAACAACTGAAGGTTTAGATATTGCTGTAAAATAAGGGGATGAGTTTGATTTGATCTTAATTGATGCTGAAGGCTATAGGAGCTCAGAAAGTATCATGAAATATCAAAACCAAATCTCTTGGACTACAGACCCCAGGCAAAAAAGATAGGAAGCTCGAAATCTATCTAATTTTTCATCCGCTCTATAGTCAGTATTTCTGCTAGAAATCTGTGATATTCTTTTAGTAGTCAATGAGTACTAGAATGAATGGCAAGATTTTGAAGAATTTATTGAAAGCTTTGAAGCGTTTGACAAAGAGAAAAGACTTCTTCCTCAAATAATTTACTTGATAAAAGGGGCAGATACAGTAAGCAAGAAAAAGTTAGCAATAAAAAATCTTAAATAAGCATTATCATACGAGAATGCTGATGAAGCTGACCCATAAAATTTTGATATTGAAAATAACGAATGCTTTAATGACATTAATTGCTACTTTTTGCCAACTTACTCTGGAGATGATTCTCATTATCAAAAATAAAATGAGACTACTCTAAGTTTTATCAATTTCATCATTTAAAATGAATAAGATAATCTTAAAAACTAGATAGAATTGAAGCAACAAATTTTAGCTATAACTCATAAGTTGAATCAAGTATTAAGAATATCAGAGCTTAAGCCATTAAGTGTTTTTGATTATGTGAGTATTCAATATGAGGTCCATTTTGAAAATGAAGATTTTATAAAGACTTATAGAGAACTAGTACAAAAACTTAAAGTCATTCAAAATAAGAAAGAATTACTAGAGCATACTCTTAATATACTTGACATACCTTCTAAACGAGAAATTCTATGGGAATCGAGAGCTATTTCTCATACAATGAGCGGATTATCTTTGGGTGCCTCAGCTGCTGGTATAGGCACTGCAAGTGCAGCACTAGCAGGAGCTGCAGTAGTTCCTATTGTGGGCTGGATAGTTGCTGGAGTAACTATATCTACTCTAGTTGCTAAAATTGCAGTTGAATAAACCGTATTAAAATCTAAATAAGAAGATGTTGAAAAAGAAGTAAAAATGGTAGAAGATTTTATGCAGGAAATCAAGTAAATTATGGAAGTTCTATAGCAAATAAAGGAAATAATTGATCAATCTTCCAATCTCAAGAGACTTCTTGTTTTTTTAATTATCAAAGCTATCAAGGAGGATGCAGATATTTAATATTCTAAACTCAAATAAAAAGTTATTGAGTAATACGTGAAATACAATGAGAGAGATTTCGAACTTTCAATGATTTCAACAAATATTTCATCCGAGGAGTTCAAGTTTCAAGATTTTGGAAGCTAATATTTTAGTACCATTGGAAATAATCTTTCTAATGGAGGAATACAAATGCTCTAGCAACTGTAAAGAGTAGAATACTTGACAAGAAATAGCAGAAAAATTTATAAAGTTTCTGAGATAGGCTATAAGACCATTGGAGAGCTACAGACAGCTTAGAACCTTGGAGGATTTGCTTCCAAAGCTACGGGTGCCGATGGTTTAAGATTGATTGGGCAAAATACCAAAGCTTTCAAAGATGTTCAAAAATTTAATGTTGGAAAAGTTAATACTGTAGGAGGAGCAGCCAAAGTATCTCAAGGTTTCGGTTTAGCATTTGGAGTCGTCGGCCTTGCACTTGAGACCTACTCAGTCTTTTAATTTGAAGATGATTTCAATAAAAAGGTTAAGCAGTTGGATAGCTTTTAGTAAGCAATTAATGAACTTAAGGAATAGTTACCAAATGTTCTAGAATTTATTTCCAACTTTGAATCTCAAGCCCTTTAATATTAACAAGAGTGATTTTACAATTCTGAAAATTGAGTTTGGAAATTAATATTTTATTTACAATAACTTTTAACTAAATATTTTATTTTAACTCAATAATTCTAATTGCTTAAAGATTAATTTATGGGTCAAGTTCAACCATCAGAAAATCTTATTTCAATTAATCTTGATTAAGATTTGAAGAGACCTTAGCTCTAAATAAACTTAACAGAAACATTAAAATCACGAGTTGGTGAGTATTAGAAGAGTTTTGTTATGGGTATCATTGGAAAATAGCAAATTGGTAAGAGTACCTTCATGAGATCATCATTCGGTGCAAAATTCAAATCTAGTGAGCTTGAAGGATAAAAGACTACTAATGGGATAGATATTTGAGTTATCAACAAGATTTGGTTCAGTCAAATTCTATTAGATGCTGAGGGATACAGAGGTTCTGAGACAGTCGCATAGTTCTAAAGTCAAATATCATGGATAAAAGATAATAAAGAAAAAAGAAAAACAGCGAGAAATCTATCATAATTTTCTTCAGTGATGCAGTCTCTATGTCTTCTTAAAATTTGTGATGTATTGTTTGTAATAAACAAATATGACGATGATTGGTTAGAGTTTGAAGATTTTTTGGATGCTTCAGAAAGCTTTAATCAAATGAATACTAGCTCCCCTCCTACAATAATTTATCTAATCAAAGGAGCAGATAATCTGCATAACTAGAATCTAGCAATTAGAAATCTAAGATATTATGTAAATAGAGGTTAAAACACTAATAAATTGAGGTAGAGTTTGATCATACATTTCTTGCCAATTTACAATTGAAATGATAAATAATATAAATATCAAAACAAGCCTATCCTGGATATTGTTGATAAAATATTCAAACTACATAAAAAGAGTCATAACTATAATAGCAATTTTATTTAGACTGTCAAGCTTTTCACCTCTAAGATAAACAATATTAATGGGCTTAGGGAGCTAATAGCTTCTCCAATTTTAGAAGCTAATGAAGTAAGATTTAACACGGTATTTCCTAATGATAGCTCTCTCGAACCTATTCAGAAAATTCTTAACGATTTGAAAGAATGCATTAGTTACTAGTTAGGGATGAAGGAATATCTAGAGAGGATAAATATATATGATTTTAACATAGTGTTCTGGGAATTAAGAGATGCTTCTCATAATAAGAATGGATATAGCTTGTTTAAACATTAACATTAGCCTAAATAAGGAGATTTCTTTAAGCAATGCGGTAGTTTTTTCAATGAGCTAGGTTTTTCTTTCCAAATCTAATTTAATTAAGATCTCAGACGAAGATAGTAGGATTAAATAGAGCATCTTAAAGATCTTATCGAGAATAAACTTAGAAAGCTGAATGATACTTTGAAAAGCCTATTATAAATATTCTCTCTTGGAATTTAAAAAGGACTAATATAACTCTTTGCCTTGCAAATTCTAGAAGTAGTAGTAATCAAAATAAATTAAAAAGACCTTAAAGTTTAATATCTTGATCAATAAAAAGCTTTATTGTTCGAGAAATCTAATTCTTTAAATTAAAAATAAAATGAAAATCTTACAGATTAGCAGCTTGTTATAAAGTAACTAATCAGACAATTAAAAGACTTTTCGAATATTTTTTTAGCTGATGATCTTATGGAGTAGCTAAGTCCTGATAAAAGAGACATATATGAAAAAAATAAGAAAGAATTCTTTATAAAGAATCCTTATGACACAGATAAAGAAGATTTTAAATAGGAACAAGTTTATAATCAAGAATAAACTTTTAATAGTGGATAAGATAAACAAGTGGCTAAAGAATAATTAATAATATCCACAGAAGAGTCATTGAAAAAGTATTCAAAAGTATTATCTAATGTAATTGAAAGCTATTATAAGTTTCAATCTGAGCAGGATAATAATCAAAGAGATCTATGCACTTAGTAACTAAATGAAGCAATTGAAAATTTGAAAAATAAATAAGATGATATTTTCAATTGTCTTGAGCTGCTTAAGAGTAATATTCACAATTAATAATTTGTTTGATAACTTTCTAAATTATACTTCTCTATTTCTTTTTCCCAAATACAATGAATATTAAAAAAGACGGGGTTTTGGGGTTTTGGGGTTTTGGGG